AATTATGACTCATTTTAGGCATTTTTCAATTTTTACAAATGTCTATTAAATGAATTATTTCAAATACGGTAGTCCGAGTAGGGTTTAAACCTAGAATACGTATTACCTATTTTATATTTTAAATACAAATGTCTATTAATATATATTTATAATTCATAAATATACAAATTGAATATATTCGAATAACTTACGAATCAAATATATGTATATTCGTATTCGTATTCAAATTTAATTCAAATAATAAAATTGATTCGTATTCGAATTCATATTCGAATATTTCGAATTCGAATCATCAATTTCGAATACGAATCGCGAATCGGATCAAAATTATTCGATTCGTTTACAACCCTAATTTTTTACGGCATACGCATATGAAATCTTTTTTGTGATCATTTTATAATTGCATATGACATTATAGAAATTATTTAATAAATTTTTATAAAAGAAAAAAAAAGTGAATTAAAAGATATGAAGCAGAGATCATAATGCTCATCTTTAGGTTTCTAATACTCAACAGAATAAGTCTGATGCTCATTGAAAATTCATTACTGCTCATTTAACAGAAACCGCGATTTCCATCGATCTCAATATAGGAGGTTTTATGTTCAATGAAAATGTTGTGATGTTCAACTAACAACCTTACGGTTTGCATATCAATGTGCACTTTGTAAGTTATGTATGCTCATTTGGTACTGATGTTATGCTCATATTTAAAATGTCACATCAATGCATATTCAGGGCCGTTTTTTAGGGGGTTCAATAGGTTATCCAGAACAGGGCCCCGGATTTCTGGGGCCCCAATTTTTTAAAATTTTATTAGTATTATATAGTAATATTATACATTAATTAATATTAATCAGTAAAATACAGTTAACTAGTAAAGAAGAAAAATATAGATCCATCATTTTTTCGTTGGTCCTTTTACTTTGTTCGTTCTCTTTTAATGAATATTTAATTGATTTAAGTATAAGTATTTAGTTTATATAAATGTGGGGCCCCGATTTTTCATTTTGAACCGGGGCCTCCAAATTCATTCGACGGCCCTGTGCATATTTCAAAAGTATTATATTACATTAGACTCGCATATTAGAATTAATAGGAGTGGATTATAGATACTCTATATAATTTAATAAGTTTTTATAAAAAAAATAAGAAAAAGAAAAAGAATCGAAAAATATGAAACAGAGATTGTGATATTAGGTCTCATGATACTCGATAGGATAGGTGACATGTTCCCTAAAATAAAATATTGCAGAAGTCGGATGTATGGATGCAAGAACTTTTCTTCCGCTTATTTGACACATCAGCAACAATGTGGTGTGGACTTTAGGAGCACATTATACGTCGTCGTATGCTGCACATTATCATCTCCTTTCATCCACCGGAGATTGGCGCAACCACCGTCGGGGAACCAAAACCGATCGCCCATCCAACCTCTCTCATTAGTCATTACTCGAACGAGAGCTACTTCCAAGCAAAGGGAGAGCAATGGATCAGCCATTCTTGCTTATGCTCTCAAATCTACTCCACCTCCAGAACCACCTAGACCCAGCCACCTCCCTCCTCTCAGACTCCGCCTCCTCCGCCGCATCATCCGCATCTCCGACGTCACTCCTCACCTCGTCATCCGCCGCTCCTCTGCTGTTCTTCACAATAGCATCCGTTCTCTCTTACATCGCTTCCCATCCACCCAAGAAAAAGCCCAAATCTCCATCCTCCCCTTCGGCGGCCGAATTCTCCGTCGCCGCGTTTCGGGCGCTATCGACGGAGCACATATGGGCAATGGAAGCTCCCCTCCGTGACGCGCAATGGAGATCTCTCTATGGACTTTCTTACCCAGTGTTTACCACAGTAGTCGATAAGCTCAAACCCTACATTACCCAATCCCAGCTTTCTCTCCCGTCCGATTATGCTGTAGCTATGGTTCTCGCTAGACTGTCCCATGGCCTCTCGGCTAAAACCCTAGCCTCTCGATATGGGCTCGAGCCGTACCTGATTTCCAAAATTACCAACATGGTCACTCGCCTCTTGGCCACAAAGCTCTACCCTGAGTTCATAAAGATTCCCGTGAGTCGCCGCCGGCTGGTGGAAACCACCCAAGGTTTCCAAGAACTCACCTTTCTGCCCAATATATGTGGTGCCATTGATGGAACCCCGGTGAGACTTCATCATCTCCCCTCAGACACCATCAACTCCTCAATGTACTACTGTCGGTACGGATTCCCCTCAATTTTGCTTCAGGTTGTGGCTGATCACAAGAAAGTTTTTTGGGATGTTTGTGTAAAAGCTCCTGGAGGGTTTGACGATGCCACCCATTTCAGGGATAGCTTGTTGTACAATAGATTAATCTCAGGCGACATTGTTTGGGACAAGGCAATGAATGTGAGTGGATTGAATTTGAGACCCTATATAATTGGGGATTGGGGTTTCCCACTGTTGTCATTCTTGCTCACTCCCTTTTCTGGGAATGGGACCGGGAGTTCTGCACAGAATGTGTTTGATGAAATGATGGTGAAGGGAAGGAAGACGGTAGAGGAAGCTATTGGGTTGTTGAAGGGGAGGTGGAAGATTCTGCAGGACTTGAATGTTGGCCTAACCCATGCGCCTCAAACGATCGTTGCCTGTTGTGTCCTGCATAACTTGTGCCAGATCGCAAGGGAGCCTGAACCGGAGCTGTGGAAGGAACCGGAGGAGAATGGAACTTCACAACAAAGGGTTTTGGAGAATGAGAAGAGTTTCCATTATTATGGTGAAAGTATGAGGCAGGCATTGGCTGATGACTTGTATCAACACCTCTCTTCTTCCAGATAAATTAATGCAGTGGTGTAAGCATGCTATAGGTTTTTTTTAACTTATTTCCCCTTTTAAAAGCTCCCATGTGTTGTATTAGATTATTTACTGTAGTTGTTTGTGCAACTGAAATATTTTTAAGAGAAGTTTAATAACATTAGATGGTTTCCCTTGGGGGGAAATCCTTTGCTTCTTTTCAGAGCATTTGCCTTGTACTTCTGTATCAATACTCCATAGTGAATCCTTGTGGTTAAGAGGGAGCCTGGGTGCTTTGATTTTAATAAATTACTGCCAATAGAAGCAAAGCATGATTCAGTTGCATAAATAGGAATGTCTTTGTTTGTGTTAAAAGTAATAAAATTGTTTAATAAAATTGCGTAATATCATGTTTGACTGAAAGAAGCCCAATTTGAATAAATTACTGGCAATAGAAGTAAAGCATGAGTCAGTTGCACAAATAGGAATATCTTTTTTGTGTTATAAAGCCATACAGGAATAGAATTATTCAACAAAAAAGTACCATATTTGACTTAAAAGAGGCTTGAGAGAAGCCCCAAAAGCAGGAAGTGAGAAGCAAAACTTAACAACGGCATTATTGTCGAAGTGAATAATTTAAAGCAGATAGATTTTAACTGTCAAGTGCATGAACTATAGTCTGTTCCGTGTTGTTATATGGTTTCAGTTATTTTTTGACACATGTTTCAACTAGAAGGGAAGCCTTGGCTGTTATTTGTTTGATACGGAGTACATCAGTACATGTTATACAACTAGAAGGGAAGCAAATCAATTATGGTCTTGTGGTAGTCTCTTGTTAAAATGGTAAACACAATTCACTATTTTGATGAAACCCTTTTCTAGACTCTCTTTCTATAAGTGAAAACGTTTTTTTATAGATAGTTGTTTGACTGTAATGTTTTTGAACGCAATCGCTGAAGTGGAAACATTGCAAATAGAAGAGTTTTGGGTTAGCATTTTGAAATACTGCATTTTCTACTAATTGTTATACTCAAACAGCTAAATTACCAAAGATATTTGGCAACCACCAAACTTATTCTGTTAGTTAAACCTGCTAACTCAATTTGCTATTGATAACCATCAACATAATCTCTAACCGCTAAATGCCAAATGCCAAACACACCCTTTATATTTAATATAAGGAGAGTCTCATAGATGGTATGTTTTAAAAGGAAATTTATCAATCTAGGATTTAAAAAGGGTAGATTTTATGGTACTCATAAGGTATCATACATTTGTCCACATGGACTAATGAGAATATTGCAGTTGGATTATTTAAATCTAAATTAAAAATGATTAAATGATTTGGATCAATAAAATGAATGATAGGTACGGTACCTCATTTTTTAAATGGGTACTGGAGTTGTCACCTTTGAAAATACATTAATTATCAATCTGAGACTTGAAAGATTAAATATACTCTCTCCGTCCCGGAATTATCTTCGTACTTTCCTTTTCGGTTTGTCCCAAATTTATCTCTCTTTTCCCTTTTTAGCAAAGAATTTATGGTTCACAACCATTCTTACACATTTCTCTTTCCTCTGCACAATTCTCCATCACACATTTCTCACTATCTTAATCTGTGTGTCATTTATACTTTAGGAGATAAATATGAGACGGAGAGAGTATCATTATAGGGCTTGAATGGTTGAAAACTATCAATATAGAACCTAATTTCCATAGGATTTTGATTTATTTAATTTTTTATTAATTGCATTGCTAATTTGTGATGAATTTTCTTGACAAATGTCTATTAGGTTAAAATTCATGACAATTTGACTTTGAGATTGATAGTTTCAATCAGATTTCATTTTTCAGATCTGAATTGATAATTCATCTACTTTATTTTTAGGATCTTAATTGATAAAATTTCTTTTTAAAACAAACCACGATGAAAATTACTTCAAAAGAGGGGGCAAAGCGAGATTCTCTCCCATGTTTGTTTGCTTCAGTTCTTAGTTTTGAGTCCAGGGGCATTTTCATAAATGAAAGCCAAAATCAAAGTCACCTTAAAAAAGTAAACATTTCGAGTGGTGCTTAGTAATCAATTCCCAAGTAAATTGTACATAATTTGCAATTTTTTATATGTTTAATAATATTGCCACAGTTCCATTTTATATGTCTTGTTTTAGCTTGACAATCATCAAGAATTATTAAAGTTAAAGTAAAACAAAGTAAATTAAATGAACCAAATATTTCTTTCAAAAAAGGGAAAAGGAACATTTATTTTCAGACAATCCAAAATTAAAATTAAGACACATAAAATGAGACAGATAGAGTAAAAAAATTGATCATTGTTGTTTAATTTATCCAAGCAATTACCTACCTAGGTAAATAAATATGTAAAGTTACAAAAATAACCAATAACATTGAAATGTATGAACGTTGTTCTCTGTGAATGTGCAATGTTTGCATACTACAAATACTACTTCTTAACAACACATATACATAGAAGTATAGAACTCTAATTTACATGTACATATTCGTACACAGATTCCAACTGCAATCACGGTCAGGCAGACCGGAGTCTATAGACAGTAGTAGTGATTTGGACCACGTGGGAGAAGATCAGATGGGATCGTGTGGGAGCTAACACATTAGACAAACCACCTTTGGACTATCAATAAATAAAAAAGAATAGAAAATGTGAACAATGAGATTCTCTGCTGCCACGTGTCCTCAAGAAGTTCTGCTACTGTTTTGTTTTCCTTTACTGAACCTTGACAAGTGTTCTGGTAGAGGGGCCATGCAGCAATTTGACAAAGCCTAGGAAGCTTAGCTTCCCATCTGTATGCCTTATCCAGTCATGGAGGACTGCATGCACTGGCACTGAAGGACTTAGTCCCAATTCCTGCAAATAATATGATCTTCATGAAGAAGGTGATGATAACGCTCATTTATTTTATTCAAGTCTCAAAGGCAAAATGACTCGCTAAATGCCTTCTTTATTTTATTCAAGTCTCAAGGAAAAATGACTCACTAAACTGTTTGCACTTTTTTGTTATGAAGGAACAGTCAGTTCATGCAATTGTCTGCATTTTTCATTTGAGTCATTCAGAAACAGTCTCTTTGTGCTTCTCTTTGTGCTTCAATAACAGAGGTAAGTTTGCGTACATCCAACCCCCTTACTCCACACCATAGGTGCGAGCCTATGGTATGATGTTGTTGTAGACAAATTCAAACCGACTAAGTATGATGTCTTCATCTTGACTGAAATTTACTAATCTCGACTAATAAGGTTTGATATGATGTGGTATAATTTGGTCATTTTTGTTCAACTCTGATCTAGTTTAAGAATGTTTTTAATTTGACTTGAATTTTCTCGTCTGGTCTAGTTTGTTCTATGACTGAAATTAGTCTAAGTAATAACATCCTAGTTTGGTTTGGTGTGATTCGCAGCTTGGTTTGCATTTTAAACCAATCCAACAGAACACATCTCGAGGACCACAAAATTTTAGTTCAAGTGGACAATGATAACAGTTCAAGATACACAAAATATCCAAATAATGAAAACCGAAGTAATGAAAAACTATAGTTCAACTTACTGAAGCCAGTTCTTCAATCATGATGGCTCGGTTTCCGTCCTTGTCAAAAAAGTCATATGCAGAGTGAGCGTGTTGCTCCCAACGGTCGACAGCCTCCAACTGATGCACACTCAGCGCTGCTGCACAGAACTCTTCAAAGTCCATTCTTCTGTACTGGAGCGCGTTTAGCTGCGTCACAAATCACAAGCAGTTATTCTTCGTCCTAATTGATCAATGAGTTAAAAACAGAACGATTGATTATCATACGTACTGCAGCGAGTAAATCTGGTGCACGTGATTCCTTCATGGCATTTGTTGCATTTTTCAACAGAGCCTGTTCAAAATCATAATGATCAGTAAATGTTTCTTCTTATGGAAATGAAATGAGTAAGGGATGATATGTAATTACAGTTTTGATGTTATCCAATTTTATAGTGCCGTTATTGTCCGGATCCAATAACGCAAATTGCTCCTTTAGATAGAAGAGTGCATCTTCCGACAGTGTTTTGGCCAATGCCTGTCAAGGGATGACAAAGTTTCAGCATAATTCAAACAAAAAACAAAAAGAGGAAGAAAATGGGGGAGAGAGAAAGAGATTCCCAGCAAGATGTATCAATCATCATTTAATAATTCTGCTAACAGACAATTTTGCGTTGAAAAGGTATGCCTGAGCGAGGTTTTTAAGAAGTTTCTGTTTTTGACAATTTTAGGATGTTTTTAAAAAGAATTGCGACAGGGTATGAATAGAGGAAAGGGTATCAAAATACACTATTGCCATTTCAAATATTACACTGCTTTAATTAAAGAGGGGTAGTGATGTATTTTAACTTGGCTCACTGACCTTTTCCCACCAAAAAATATGTCAATTTTGTCAATGTTGAAGAATAAAAGTGTAATTTGTAAGGAAAAGACCTGAAAATGTCAAGTAAATGAAAATAAGAAGGGAAATCAGGAAAGAGTGGAAATTTGGGGGAATCTTTTAAAACCAAAAGAGGTTCACATTGAAAAAATCATACTCAGATGTATTGTATTTATACAGTTCTACTAAATAAATAAAGACTAAAAGTCTAAATTTATGTCAATTTAAAAAACAATTCTAACCAGATTTGATTATTTCTTATACTTCCAAAGTCAAACCATACCAACACCACAAAATAACTATTTTCCATAGCATCCCCCCCCCCCCCCTCCTACCATTCTCTAGGCACCAAATTTTGCCTCTGTACTTTAGAATTGAAGGAACTTACCCTCAAAGCGGCCTTACGCAATGAAGACGACCTCATATAGCTTTTCATGAGTCTGAATACAAGAATATCAAGAGGCACTTTTGCATCACTGTGATCCCGGATCCACGGATGACCTGAAACACCAAAAAATGTATGTGGCACAAAAACCAACACAAAAATATGAAAATTCAGAAATTATTAGGAGGAAAAGTTAAAACTCACACAAGGCTTGAGCAGCCGACATTCTTCGTCTAGGATCCTTATTTAACATCCACTTGACAAAGTCTCTAGCCTCTGAAGATAACGAAGGCCAAGGTGCTTCATCAAAACTGGGATCAGTCTTCAAGACCGCTCGGAAGATCCCAGACTCTGTACGAGCCCAGAATGGACGACTGCCGCATAAGAGAATGTATGCTATCACCCCCACACTCCAAACATCAGCCTCTGTACCATATGATCTCTGTAGAACTTCTGGTGCAACATAGTACGCACTCCCAACAATATCATTCAGCTTTTCATCTGCATATTTAGTGTTTGAACAAAATAGGAATTTGATTAGAACATTTTAGATATTGTATTTATTTAGACTTCTTATTTCTTGTAAAAAAAAAGAACTCAAAGCAAATTATTATCTTCCCGGACATTTTCTTTCCTTCCAAATTTCCCAACTACTTTCCTTCTTGTTTTCTTGCCCTAGCATTTTATTAGTTCCAAACAGACCCCAACTCCCCAAGAGATGATGTTTACCTCACACTCATGTACTAGATGGAAACCAATGGACAATCAATGTGTGGTATTCACCCATAATGAAAAAATAAGATATCCAAAACTCTAAGTGAGAAAATTCACCTGGCCGGACAAAATCAGATAACCCAAAGTCTATAGCTTTCAACTGGGAATTCTCATCCTTCGAAGAAAACAGAAAATTCTGAAAATAAAACAACAAAACTTAAGCAGGAATGCCAAGAAGAGCAGCTCATTACAGTTAAATGTTTCTTCTTTAAATATGTATCTACTAGCAGAACTGAAGTTCGTTTTTCTTTACCTCAGGTTTAAGATCACGGTGCACCACACCTTGGAGGTGACAAAATGCAACAACCATTAATATCTGTATCATGACACCTCTTGCTTCATCTTCAGTATACTTTCCACCCCTACAAATGAACCAATGATAAAATGCTTTAAGAAAAAGAATGATCTCAAAAAAACCATGAGATCAAAATTCAAAAGCAGAAAATATTACCTTGAGAGTATACTATCTAGAAGTTCTCCACCAAGGCACAACCTGAAAAAGGTGTAATGAAGACCAGGTTAAACAATTTATCAAGAATAATGACAATTATACGACTAAAATAAAAAATAATTGACAAAAATATGACTTTTAGTACGCAATGACCATAATAGTATTCTCGCACTGACTGTAGAGACACCTAACTGTGTTCAATTTCACACAGAACTTGACCATCCAGTCATGTTTTTGTCCATGAGTTCTATTTTAGTAAAACTATAGCCAAACCCCAATAGTTATCAATCTTTATTTATAATAACAATATGAAATAAATTCAACAAAAAAAAACAGAATGGCAAATTAGATTCAAGATTAACATTCTTACTCCATAACTATATAAACATTATCTTGATCTTCGAATGCATCATAAAACTGAACAAGGTTATTATGTCCTGCCAAGGCTCTCAATATTTTTACTTCCCTTCTTACATCCTCAATTGCAATAGCTGTTGTCATCTGCCAAACAATAAATAAATCAGAGTATGATGCAAGGGTGTGCCATTTAAGGTGAAAATGCAGATCTCATCGAAGAGCAACAATATCATCAACCAAAGCTCAAATTGTGGAAAAAGTGAAACAGTAGTAAATAACATACAAAACACATTTTTTAAAAGTTACTGGCGAGTTCCTAGACCAGCTGTATGATTAGTCAAAGCTTCTTTAATTTGAAAGATCCATCATTACAAGATAACCATAAGAATGAATCCTTGAAACAAAAAAGGAGTGTACAGTGTCCCTTTTGAATTTTGATCAATCAAGGTTTAAACTTTAAAGAATCATTAGCCCAGGTACCCAAAAAGGAAAATTCAAATGGTTTATTAGACAATTCAAGTAAAAAAGATCAAATTCAGTGCACTTTTTTACAGCACAAAAACTCACGGAGTTTATATGAATACAAAATTGAGCAAAATCAACCAAGAGCCAGAGAGGCGGGGAGACCTTGGACTTGGGAATAACTTTAACAGCAACTCGTTGGCCCTTAAGGTCACCCTTTCTACAGGTAGCAGAGCAAGTATACCCAAAATGCCCTCGCCCAACTTCTTCTCCGATCTCGTACCTACTGGTGAAATGTTTTGCGAACCCAAAACTCTTGTCCAAGTCAGCCCCTTCCGTCTCCTCGCCTTCAGGGATCGCAGGTGTATTAGGCTTCACACTCCCGTGCCGCCGCAAAAGAAACGACTTTATATGCTTCGCCGGCGACGGCGGCGGGAAAGGCCGCTTGAACAACCTAGCGGGCGTGGACCCATCACTCTTGGAGGCCGTGGAACGCCGTCCCGGAGATTTCTTCGAGAATAAATAGTGCGCTGGGCTTGGACTGTAGAACGGAAAGAAAGGAGACTTCTTGCCGGAGTTGGAGGCGTCGTGCGCCGGAGTTTCTAGGACTTGCGGCGCTTCTAGGGTTTCACGAAGAGAATAAGGATTGGGTTTGTTAGATTTGGAGGTGCAAGCACCCATAGTGTAAAATCGGAAGGCTAAGCAGTGAATTCCAGTGGCATCCTTGGTGAACTCTTCAAGAATGCAGCCCTCCTTCAACAAATACTCACCAGCTAGGTTGAGGAAACTGTGAAGACTGGAAACTGAGAAGAAGAAGATAGATGTACGCCAAGGATGGGTAATGATAGGAAAAGGAAGGTAGAAAAAGACGAGACGGGAAGCTTTAGCAGAAAGAGATAGAGAGATGTATAGATTGATTTGTGCGTACACATAATTTTCATTTTTGTTGTATGTATAGATTTATACTGTCAGACAGTGACTCGCGTATGAGGTGAAGGTGTCTTAGATGGTTCGACGGACAGATCTCTACGCATGGTCCCTGAGGTGCGTTTGGGAGAGGGGTTGGGACAATTCCCGGACAAAAAGGGGTTATTAATAATTTAAACAATCAAACCAATATTACTTCTTAAATTTCTAATTCCAAAAATAAGATCACTTTGTGTTTCCCAAAAACTAGATAATATTACTTCTTAAATTTCTAATTCCAAAAATATGATCACTAGCAACGACAACGTCGAATAGAGACGGTGGTGGCTTCAAATAGAGACGGCGACAAAGACGGATTTGAATAACGACGGTGACAGCTCTTCGGATAGTGACGATGACGACAACTCATCTCCATCTTTTCTCCTCCTTTATTCTTTTCTTCAAAGCGCTTCTGCTTGTACCGTAGCTACTCATAACGTCGGATCTGAGAGTTGATGGTGATTTTGTTGCTAAGCAGATCCGCCATCGACCTGAGCAAATACATCACCTAACCCTACGTAGATCTGAAATTGATGGCTCTTTGTGGTAGGTATTGGCTCGTGGGGGGCGGTAAAGTGGTGGTTGGTGGCTAGATTGGGGTAGTGACGGGCTGGTATGGGCGGTGGTTGGGGCGGGATGTCACGGTTGCAGGGTTGGGTGTGGGGTTGGGACAGCAGTTCTGCAAGGGAAAGGGGGCTGGGGAGGGGCTGTCGAGGTGGCAGGTTTACATCCGAGGGAGTTGGGAAGGTCGGGGAGGGGCTGGAAAGGTCGGAAGGGGAACTGGGATGGTCGGGGAGGGGATTGGGGGTGGTGCAGAGACGGTTGGGAACTGAATGTGTTGTGGGGTGGGGCAGTTGCAGTCGTGCAGGGATGAGGAGTGGAGGACAGTGAAGGTGGTGTGGGGGTAAGCAGTGGTTGTGGGGCAGGGGCAGGGGTGTGGTGGTCACTAACGGGGAAACGGTGGTAACTGATCAGAGGATGGTGGTCGGAGTAAGTGTCATTGTGGCCGTCGATGGCGGTGGCCAGAGGGTGGCCAGAGGTTGGGCGGAGATATCGCTACTGAAATATCACTCTGGAATTGTCACTATGGAGGTGTCATTGTGGTCGGCGGCGGCGGCGTAGTAGCACGTTGCAACAGTGACATAGGCGGTGGTTGCAGTGACACGAGCGGCGGTGGCAATGACATGGACGATGGTGGCAGTGACACAGACAATGTTGGCAGTGATATCCGACACTGACATGAAAATGGGGCAGTGACATGAATATTTGGTTGTCGCTTTGTTTTAGTCACATTTTTGTCCAAATATAAAAGTGGTCACATTTTTGGAAATCACACTTAATTTAGTAATATTCAGGGAATAACCCCTTAATAATTTATATATTACTTCCTCCGTATCTATTTAATTGTCACAATTTCCTTTTTGGTGTATCAAATTAATTGTCTCCTTTACTTTTTTGGAAAGAATCTCACTCAAAGAGCAGTTACAGTACCACTGCAGTAAAGTTATAATACAATAATCTCTTACTTTTTATCAAGTTTACGGTAATTGGCTTAACTCCATGAAAAGCAAATAAGTCAACTAATTAGATACAGAAAGAGTACTTTGAATATTTCTTTCAAAAATTTGTTAGTAATTCCAAATTCATTAGACCGATACAAAGTACTCCTTCCGTCCCGCTAAGATAGTCTCATTTTTTCTTTTCGATCCGTCTCACTAAGATTATCTCATAGTAAATTTGATAATGTTTGTGTGATTCTACATCATTTTTACTTTATTCTGATTTTATAAATTTAATATCAACCACTTTTCTTAAATTGTGTCACAACCCAAGGGAAAGAAGAGGTTCGTCCCTGGGGTACCAAACCCGGAAAGGAGATAGCTGCATTCCAAGGACAACCGTCAGAGGACGTACGTCATGAGACACAGAGTGGCTCATCGGTTTGGGAGGTGCCACGGGACACAAAGTGGCTCATCGACTTGGGAGGCACCAATGGTATTAGCTGGTGACGTATGTCGGATTCAATTCTACTCCTTATGTCCTGCGCACGCTCGGAACATCAGAAGTGGGGGACTTGTGTTGGGTTAATGGCCCAACGGGGGTTGGCCCATAAAACCCTCAAGGCCCGCTCTACGAACGTCCCCAAAAGGCACGAGACAACGAGTTACCTTTCCGCTTATCCCGGCGAGGTTCATCTCCAACAAGGCCCAGGAGACGTCCGTATTCTAGCATAGGCGGGTGCTTTGACTCAGGGGCAGCGGCTGACGCACGTCTCGCAGGACTTTGGGCCCAGCAGGAAACATGAGGCAAGCTCATGGGGATGAATGTACCCACCCCTTGGCGGGAAGCCAAGATCCTGGCGGGAAGCGCATTTAATGCAGAAGATTTGGTGGTTAGGATCAAGCCATCCACATCCTGCCACGTCAACGCATCTAACTACCCATTGGCGGTATAAATAGCAGCATTTATTTCACTGTAAAAGGTTGGTAACCTTGCACTCTAGCATTGTAGCAATTATATCAGCTCATAGCATAACTCTGTACGAACGACCTCTCGGCTTTGTAACCCTTTCAGTGTATTAAGACTTTTTATTGGGCCCTTCTTGCTTGTTTCTACATCTACTTCGATACTTCTTCCATTCGAAACCTTTGGGTCGTGTGTTGGGCCTACGGGTTGAATGAATAAACCTCAACACACACTTTCAATCTCATATACGGCCTCCAGAGCTTCTCAAATTGACGTTCCTCAATTCTTACCAATTTGCCCATAGAGTTCCCAATCTTTTTTGCAACCTTTAGAGTAAAAAAATTCATAAGTGAATTATAAATATGAATCCGAAAATCTATCAGTAACAGGAACCTTCAATGGCACGTCACCTGCCTGTAAAACATGCAAAACTAACAAATTTTACTTCAAAAATCACGAACCATTCTCAAGAAAATGGTTCACATCAACCACATGGAAAAGGTAAAGAGATACCCCTTTTCAACAAATTCCTTAATTGAAAACCCTCATGTTGGACGCCAAAGTGTTGCCATATGATCTCTGAAGAACGGAAAGTTCACTATTTTGTTATAACCAGCCTTCCGACCACTGCGGAAGTTGTCCCGTCACCGTCTTCTTCATTCGGTTCGTCGCCTAGGTCAATATTAATACCTTCATTCCCCTCCTCTAGAACCATACCTTGATAATTATGCAACAGGTCTTCCATTAATCCCAACTGATATACTTGAATATGGTGCCCTTTACTACGTCTTTCGGTGCCTAAACCCCAACCAATTAGCCTTCCAAGACCCCCCCCCCCCCCAGGAAAAACGAACCCCAACCCTACGCCCGACACCAACCAGCCAAATCAATATCGTGCTTAAAGAAAAGTAGAAATCTGATTAGCAAGAAAAGAAGCCGCACACTCAAAGCGGCGGAATCCCCAACCCTACGCAGACATACCAGGGAATTCTACAAGCGACATCTAAATTTTAAGAAAATGAAGTATCATTATAAACACAAAATAACAGTTTAATAGTTGGTTCTTTAGCATTTTATTATTTCAGTTACGAAGTGATTACGCTTAAAAAATTAGAGCGGAAGAGCCAAATGGTCACAAGCCAATTCAGAATTTGTGGGTCAATCAGGTCAATGCAAAAAAGTTGGTCAATATATTATACTCCCCCAGTCCCGAAAAGGTTGACCAAAGTTGACTTTCACGTAGATTAATAAAGTAAAAACTGTGTGGTTGAAATTTGTTCAGATGAGAGAGAATTAATTTTAGCCACATATTTCATACTTTAAATGGAAATGACAAATCTTTTTGGGACATTCAAAAAAGAAATTTGGCCAACCTTTTCGTGACGGAGGGAGTATATGTACAACTATTTAATATTAACCATATAATTGATACATAATTGAAATAAAAATGCAATAATTATTCTTCATACTAATGTGGAAATACTTGATAAGCATTTAAAACACTTTCATCAACAACAACAATAACATCAAAGTTGTAGTCTCAAAAAATTTTGAGCTAGATTAACATGAATTGATACATGATATCACAATGAAAAGCTAAGAAAAAGAAACATAACAAATATTAGGTATGATAAAATAAATTTAAAAAAGGATATGATAAAGATAATTATAAAATAAAGATAACAATGATAATAGAAAAGGATAAAAAGAATATTATATGAAATAAAATATTTAAAAGGATAAAGAATACGCCATGTAAGAAAGATACGGAATATATAAGGATAAAAAGATGATAACAAATGAATCATCTACATGAATATCCGTTGATG